AAGATACTTCTCAAGATTTTTCGGATAAATGAGAAGTAGATGAGGCATTGTTTCGATATTAATTTTTCCTGTACATTACCGATTTGTGAACAAAACAAGAACCACATCATAGTCATTCTTATAATTTTCTACTGATTTCATTGTTATATCGTACCAATCTTTAATATCTGGTGTTGATATTTTAGTTGTTACACCGCGTTCTGAGTACTTGATTTGTGAAAAGATCGCTAATTTTTTTCCATTGTCGGCAGAATCAAGAAACCAGCAGTGATCTATGTTAGCATTTCCTTGGTAACAGTGAAAAATGCCTTCCTCAAGTGAGCGGATTACGTTATCATCACATAACACTGACTTATCAAAACTTGCAACATCATCTGTTTTTACAAGAAACTTCTTATTTTCAGTAAAGACTTTGAGATTATGTAATTGTACCTTGCGTTGGAGAAGTGTGTTAGCACCTAAAGCACCACGAAATATATCAGATAGTTGCCAATTATGCCTTTTTTGACGGTCAAGCTCTTGGTTTTTCGAATCAATTTGCTTCTCAATTATGATTTGTTCGTTATCATCCTCTTGTTTTTCCAAATATTTTTTAAGTAGTTGAATTTCATGTTTAACAGAATTTTTCCTTAACTCTTGAACGTAGATTAAACTATCAATAAGGGCTTTTTGAAAATGCCCATATAAAAGTTCAAAATTTTGCCATTGCCAAGGAGTTTCATATGTTGGGATTAAGAGAAGATTATCTTGAAACACAGGTTCTACATTAAATACCAGAAGCTTGTTGTTAAGAACTTTCAATAACATAAAGGGCATAACGATAGTATACCATTCATCATTAGTATTAGAAAGATAGATCAAACCAGACCGCTCAAGTTCACCAATGGATATGCCACTCTTTAGTTAAAAATCTCGCTTGATAAGTTGTCTGGTAAGCCCAAATGAGATCACAGTACATATATCATCAAGATCCTTCCATTCACTTGGACTATTTTCAATTTTAGCAATATTCCGCTGAGATATTTTAGTAAAAAGTTGATTTCCCCAGTCAAAATATGATGTAAGGGTAGAAGGACTTAAGAGATCGTCAATAAATTTTGGAATAAAGCCAGTGTCAGACATGGCAATTTGAAAATGTTGTTGATTCAGGACATAGTTACAAAAATTCGTTGAAAGCTTTTCGATATCTTTATTAAGATCAGAACAGTAATGTGATTTGAGGCCTTGCACCACTAGATCTCTTCCTTCATCGGTTGTTTGCTTCAAATAATCATACTTGTCAAGAAACATAGACTTTGCTGAGGCATAATTCAAAGGCTTAAGCTCCAACATTACTTGAGTATGCTCCGTAGGTAAAAAATGAACGTCAATAGCAGACGTTCCTGTGCAGATCAGAATGATAAAATATTTGCCATTAAGCTCATAATCTGCATGTCCACTTTCTGTTGGTATCATCATATTACCACGCATGACACTACCAATCTCCCTTAGCATTGATATAAAGAAATCGCGAGAATTTGTCCATGATAGTTGTTGGTATTGTTGAACATCATTAATATAAAGTTGATATTCGTCAAGATGGATGATGATAGCCTCAACTGAACGCTGTTTAGGGCGACGTTTAAAAATCTCATAAATCACAGCAGAAAGGTAGAAGAGTTCAACGTTCATTTTTGACAAATCAGATAGTTTCTCAGACACCAAACCTGAAGCCATTGCGACACGGCTTCCTATTCGCACACTTGCAGATACCTTGTCATCAAAACCAGGAATATACTTGCATCCATTATTCAAATCAATGGAGAAGTAGTAGGGATTCTTCAGAGCTTTCACAAACTCATCAGTGTCGTCATTTCTTCTTGTCAGGTTATCCAACATATTTTTTGTCTCCCAGCCCATTCGTGTCTTGCCTATTCCAATCCCTCCAGGAATTAGGACAAATTTATGATCTTTGTAATCAGGACTTTTGCGATGACAGTAGTTAAAGCGAGCAACTTCTAACATTGAATGTAGAGCTTGATCACGATCGTAAAACTTGTGGGAAGGAATATTTGTAATATGCGGTTGTAATATTGACGAAGTAAGAAGAGAAGCCAGGGTTTTCGCTAAAAAATGAAAGTGAATTTTAAAAATAAAAAACAAAGATTACTAGTCAACAATGTTAACAGTATATATTACTCACGTGTTCGTTTATCTTTTTTTTGGGTTCCGCTTTCTTCATCCAAGTCTGACTCTCCGTGTCTTCTTTTCCCTATTCAAATAAAAATATAAGATGTGAGATAACGCGAATTTCTTGTTCGAGAGGTAAACCATTGGAAGACACTTACCAGTGGTGGCGGGCGGTGGAGGTTGCACGAGAATGTGAATTGAGGATGATGGTTTATCAAAGTTTTTTAAATATTTTGAAATTTCGTCTCCTGGTAACATTTTCTTTCCTTCAAGATCTTGTTCAATGTTAATTGTATCAAACCTTTCATCAAGCATCATCAGCTTATCATTTTCACCATCGAAAGGAATATCGACTTTCCATAATATGAGGTCGCTTTCGTCAATACTTTTACTGGAAAAGGTGTTCTTCTTCTTATCATAGATAGCATTCCTGAGTATCATGACGCGTCCTGAGAAATCGAATTTAACAAAATCAAGTTTTCTTTTAATGGGAACTTCACCTAGAACGAGATAATATGCCATGGTATATCTGCAATCGCAAAATCGAGAGTTAACGAGGGTCAAAAAAGTAATTTTTCAGTATAACACAAGTAAAAGACCTTATGTGTATAACGTTAGATCTAGCAGGTAAGGAATTTTCCTCAATTTTAGTTTGTACTCGGAACGGCGAAAGTACTCGAGATAGCGAAGAATAGCTTGACATTTTGATTATATTTCATATATATATATATTTCCATAAATGGTTGTTGACTAATTACTACGAACTGTGAGTCAGTAATTCTACGAACGAGTCAGCAATGTGTCAAGAATCAAATACAAAATTACGATATCAATCAAAAATCAGCCACATGTCATAATGTCACATGAGAGTGCCAAAATAATTCTTGCATTACGCCAAATAAGGTATGAATATTTCGGTTGTGATTGCATTTGCACTCAGAGCTTGCAAACTAATATCCGTTTTTTGTTCAGAACTTTCGAGGACCTTATTAGGCGGAAACCATAAACTTTCGGTGAGTTTAACTAAGGTCAATATTGTTAATTTATTTCTGACTCCACGTATTCTATGCATAACTGACGACCATTTTATTCTATCCAGAATATCGATGTTGGGACAAATGAATTCGGACTAGAGTTAGTGATTTTGTGTTAGTATGTAGATAGCTTAGATGAACGAAACACCGACAGGCATTAGCATAGAAACTCTATTTCACTTTGTAAAACAAGTTTATGTATTACTGAATCTTGTAATTTATTTTTTACATTAATAAATCAGTAATTCCGATGAGGATATTACCTCGTTTTTTTATCTATGCTAACGAACTTTTGAATTATTCCATCTCATATAAAAAATTATTATCGAACATGCAATCTATTGATTCATTGAGAGAATTAAATTCCAAGCTCTTAGCTGAGATTGCCGAGCTTAGAAAGAAGAACGATAAGATTCCTGTACTTGAAAAAAAATTTGCTGAAGTTGAGGTTGAGAATGCGAGGTTGAAGCAAATTATTGAAGAGAATGCAAGGCGTGATGCTGAGAA